TCACAGAACTGGAAAATGGGAAACAGGGAATGCAAGCGCAAAAAAAGGTTTTGCCTTTAACACTGAGTTTAAGGTGAGTCAGGTCCATCTTAGTTACAGTTTGCCTATAAAAACAGATAGTAAAAAGAGATAAAGAAAAAAGTAAATAATTGAACTTAGAAATTTGTATTTTTTAAGTTTTCTTAGTCCATTCTAACTGAACAACATTAAGTTCAACCATTTAGGTATCTACTTCTCTGATTATTAAGTCTAAACTCAGATCAAGGTCCCAAACTCAAGTGAAAGTGGCCTTTCTTGACAAGTATCTTCACCATCTAGTAGCAATTACCTAAATTTCAGATTTCACACTACAGTCCAATTTCAGGACCTAAAAAAACTAAAGTCATCAAGTTAAAAAAAAAAAGTCATATTAGAATAGGATCCACAACTAACTATTCATACTCTCATCAATATGAACTGATACACTTTCCAGTTCCTAACTAAAGCTTAAACCAATTATCAATACCATTCAAAGTTAACTAAACTGCAAAAGAGCTCAATTCCACACCTGAAGATTTTAATGATTTGGAAATATTTTCATAAATATGGCAACTTCCTGAATTCTTACCTAGAAAGTACCTTCCCCTCCATAGCCCACTAAAGATCTATCATCTTTTTACTAAGGACTGTATTACTATGTGATAAAGTAATAGAAAGCATCTAGTCATCAATTCAACATTAACTATGAAAGAATACTTAAAAAAGGAAATTATTAGACTCTGACTTCTCTCCTTCCTTAAAACTGCTATCAACTCTTTAAGAAAAATATAAATGTCCCTGTGAACCCTGTGAAYAGCTACATTCTCTTAACACCTCCAACACAAAAGCTAACCATTCCCTTCCTGTGCTCCTACAACACATTACACCCCTCCTATATAACACTAATCACCATAGTGGTATAGTTACTTATTTATATGTCTGTATCCCCCACTAGACCTGAGCTTCATAAGAACAAAGGACAGTCATGATCATCTTCACACTGTATAGATATTTGAATGCCAAGTCAATAAAATCCTAGTTAAATAAATAAATGAAGCTCAAGAAATGTGTTTTTGAGGAGCAGGGTACATGTATGGTAAGTTTACAGGGGGAGGGGGAGTTGAATTTTAAATATTCATGTGGAGATTAAATATTCACCTATGATTAAGTCAAATCAATATCTGACCATACAGCATGTAAACATGTGACCTATCCTTACAGGAATCCTAAAAAAGACAACTTCAAATCTCTATTCTTCCTCCTTCCCCAGCAGATTCCATTTACTTTCCCAGAAGCCACTGCCACAGGAACCAAGGCCCATCAGATCCAAATAGAGTGGTATCAACCAAAGCCATCAACTTTTCTCCTTCTTACTGGGGGAACTCCTACTCCTACAAGGCACTGGAACCCCTGCTTCCAAGTCCACCTACCTCCACCAGGCAGATATTAAGGAAGAGGCATAAGAAATGATCTCTTAAAAACCAAACAGCAGGGCTGAGGCTGTGGCTCAGTGGTAGAGCGCTTGCCTAGCATGGGTGAGGCACTGGGTTCGATTCTCAGCACCACATATAAATAATTGAATAAAATAAAGGTCCATAGATATAAAAATATTTAAAAAAAAAAGAAAAACAGCAGCCAAGAGTGGTGGCACATGCCTGTAGTCCCAGCTTCTTGGGGGCTGAAGTGGGAGGACTTCTTGAGCCCACAAATTGCATACCAGCCTGGGCAACACAGCAAGACCCTATCTAAATAAATAAATAAAATTTAAAAACCACAAAGAGCACTTGAAAATCTGTCACTGTGGGTGGACATAAAAAACATAATTTCTGCTACACTATTGCTTAATTGAGAAAATAACATCAAAAACTAAATTTTTAGGACCTCAAGTTCCACGTTGAYGACTACCATAGCTATGGGATACCACTGAACTGTTGATCTGCTCAACGACTGTGATACTTCAAATTAATCTCTAATGATCATAACATAATCCTGCCAAATATAATAACCATACAGTTTTTAGTGAAATTTGTAATAGTAAACACATGCACCCCTGTCCAAATCTCATTAACCTGGAAATGACAGTCTATTACTTGATATTACAATCTACTTGGAGAAAACTTGCTGGAGGATAAAAAAGTTAGGTTTACCACAAGGCTGAGTCATGAATAGGATGCATATTATTTGGTAAGGCCTCAAAAAGCATCTCTGTGTGTCTACAAAAGGCAGAAGGGTTGAGAAAGAAGTTTTGCAACTGATATCCTCAAGCAGCTAATAAATGACGGCACTTACASTCCTCCACTAGTGATTAGCACTACATGGGGAAAACTGCCAAAAACAGGTTTCTCCCAGGCAGATAAGGTAAAAAGGTTTCATATTCCCTTCTCTAATACTTTAAAAAAAAAAAAAGTTACAGAACAGTAATAATTTGTTCTATCAGACTGCAGACCAAGTCTCTTTTGCTTTAACAGTACAACATGAAGATCTCACATAAGTACATATATGATCAAGAATGTACTTAAGCTATGATATTAATATTATGATATTAAATGATATTTTGGCTGTTGTGAACAGCACTATGACTTTCAATTCTGACTACTCTGAAAAGCTACTTTTCATTTCAAATATGTGTAAAATTAATCATATGCAATAGAAAATTTTTTGTAAAGCAGAAATTTTTTAACAAATTGTTACCATGTGAAACTTTTAAACAAAAGTTCTGAATAAACCAGAGCTCCAGCTATTCTGTTCCAAGTACTTAACATACCTCAGGGGGGGGTTTGCCCTCTGCTAAAAATATTTGTATCATAAAATACTGACAAACACAGCTAATGCCAATGAGTTATTTTTCTAAACCTCCTGTTTTCACAATAATTGTCCTAATTCCCTGATTATTCTAGAAATCTAAAAGCCTAACCAAACTTAATACTGCAACATTGAAAGAGTCCTAATTCATAAATATCTTAAGTGTCTTCCTAACTTAGGCTGTAAAACAAGACTAGAAGGCATAAATGCCTTCTAGTAAACCCATGTGTATATCTGTCTGATGCAAAAATAGTTCCCACCCTAAAATCCACACCTTTTCCATATTTAAACAAAAGTTTAAGTAAATGAACATTGTTCAAGAATGAAAAATTTATACAACAAATATGGAAACCTCAGTCTACATGAGACTATCCTTCTTTCATTAACTATTTCAAGACTTCTTAACTACCAATTAGGTTCTTTCAAATCCGACTTTAGAAACAAATAGATCTACACTGTCCATCTGTATTTATCTTTGCAATCTCCACATATGCTTCAGAATGGGAAACAAAGTCACACTGATCTTGGTGATATGAACTCCCTATGAAAGGAATAAAAAGATACTAAATGGTTGGGAGGTGGACAGAGGGTTGGAAGGACTATTCTAAATTAAAGAGATTTCTGTGTCCTTCCGCTTCAGGAGAAAAACGAGAAAGGAGTGCTGGTGGAAGAAAATTAATATACAACTTGCTCCTTGAAACACAGGCTTTAAAGTATAATTTTGGAATCATATACTTATTTTCAAGAAAAAAAAATTATCTTCACAATGAACGAATTTCTGGATGAGGTACTTAGAGTAAAATGGTATTCTAGTATAGAAGGGCTGTAGCACTTCTTTATCTTTAAAAAAAAAAAAAAAAAGAATGCATGTCATTCTCCTTTTAGGCTGTTGACTACGGAAAACGGTCCCTTTCCATATCTGCCAATTTTATGTCTCTTGATATTTCTGCACCCTCTTACTAATTAACTGGTCTTCATCAGGAAGATATTAATAATGGTTGAACACTCAGGAGACACCCACAGCCTCAAAACTAAAGAGACCTATTCAAGAAGAGACGGGATGAACCAGGAGAAGGAAGGTACTTGGCAAAAACACAGCAGGTCAGAGCAGTTGTGCCCGGCTTTGCACACTTACTGGTTTGCTAGGGTACACGTTAGATAGATGCGTTTTTAGTTTCCCCACGGTCCAGTTCAAGAAGCAGCTAATAGTCTGGTCACTGTATTTCTGATTCGGTGCTTTAATGATGAGGGTCACAGGAATCTCCATCCCACTTTGGTCCATGGTGCCCCCAAAGTCGGACGGTCAAAGAGGAGCAGCAACAAGCCCTAATGAGCCGAAGTGTTTACCGCCGGCGCGGCTAGGATGGGGACGGAAGTGAGTTCTTAGTATTCTGTGTTCAATTCAGTCACAAGTGCATCGGGCGATACGAAGGCCATTGCCAGTACCAAGGATGGACAGAGACGGTGGCGGTGGCGGCGGCGGCGGCGCGGTCTGGGTGCCCGGCCGTGGGTGCAGCTCTCCCCGCCAGGTCCGGGCTCCGCCTGGCTCCGGACTGTGGAGGGAGGCGGGGGGGAAAGAGAAAGCGATGAAAAAGCAGGATGGGAAGGGTGGGGGCGCGACCATCAGGGTCACCGCCCCGCCCCTACAGCGACCCCCAACCTGAAACGCAATAAGGCCCCTACGCGACTGCCCCGCCGMGCAGGCTGGGGAAGTAGCTGGCCTGCGCAGGGCGGCTAGTCGGAAAAGGGGTACCTGAGACACGGCAGCGGGGCCCGCCACCGCCGCCCTCCGTGCCCAACAGGGCGGCCAGCAGCACAGTCGGGGCGGGCGTTCTCGGCGGCGGCCGCTCCCTTCCTGCTGCTCCGCGGAGGCCGGCACGGCCCACCCCGGGTCTCGCGAGGCGGAGCGGGTAGCAGTCAGAGAAGTTGGCCGAAGGGCGCGGCCCGGCTCTCCAACTGACCCCTCAGGCGGAGGCGGCGCAGGTGGCAGGAGGGCGGGACGACGGCCGCAGCGCCGGCCCCGAGCGCGCAGATTTTGTTGTTGTTGTTGTGTACGGGGTCCAGCTCCTCTTTAAGCCGGAAGGCGCAGAACGGAAGTGCGTCACGCGCGGAACGCCCCTGCGCGAGGCCGGGTCAGCCCCGCAGCCTCCCGCGGTGTTTGCACTGCGGGTAACTGGACGTCCTGAACCTAGCTGCGCATCGCCGTAGGCTGAGGCCTGAATGCGGTGGCTCTTGGTGCAACCTGGCCCCCAACACCAATTTAGGTGACGTTAGCATATCTTGTTGACCACACCCTGGAGGTGCARGAAGTGCTTCTTCATCCCTTGGGTTGTCTCTGCTAAAGTTAATACCCTCCCTAATGCTGACTCAAACTGCTCAAAATTTTTTAAATGTCGACTATCTGCAAAGCACGATGCCAGGAGGGGAGGCCATGGGTACATCGTGTAAGGAGCACTCTGCTTTGTGGGAACCTAGCTAACCTTTCTGAGTCTCCATTTAGGGAACAGTCCTGCCTACCCAACTGCATGCTGATAAAGGAAATGAACTATCCATGTAAAGCGAGGTATAATTAGGGAGTTTGGCAGTCTCTCAAACGTCAATTCGTCTTGGTTTTCTTAACAAACGTTGACAAGTGCTTATCGAATACCGACTACTGTGTGTTCAGTACAATGGGGCTTGAAGAGGGATGATAGTATTATTTTTCCGTTCTACAGGTTTGATATGGGAACAGAGGTTGATTAAACTTTTTCACATTTCCTTGCAACTAGGGTAGTTTGATAAAGGAACAGAGATTGAGTCCACAACTTATTGCTGGTTTATTCTGCATTGTTTGCATGGAGGGGTCGGCTAATCAGGAAAGGGGTATCTGAGACACGGCAGTGGGGCCCGCCATGGGTTTAGGAGTCAGTAAATTTAAGTTTATTTAATGTGCATTTTCACTGCTTCAGACTTCGACTTACAGGAGAATGCAAACTGATAATACAGGGAATTTGGGGAAGTTGGTCTTTTTCTTTCTCAATACAAAAAGGACTTCAAACTACCCCTGGATTAGTGCCCAAGTGGAAGAATTTCCAGTCAGCAGCTAATGCAGCAGGATCCCTTCCATTCTCCTCCCCCAATACACACCACCTTGTTTTTTATGGTAGGACATTTTACCTATCTTAGCGGTATCCTCCCAAGTGCTGTTCTGAAATAAAAGTGAAATTCCCTTTGTTGCCATTCATGGAATGACCACAGCTTTCTGTGATCGGTTTTCTATAGCAAACTCTGCTCTTTGTTTACCCTGTCACCCAAACAGAACCTTAACATTCTAGGTTAATTAAAAAAAAAAAAAAAAAAAAATTTTTTTGAACTTTTTCACATTTCCTTGCAGCTAGGAGCAACCATATGACACAGGTCAAGCAAAGGAAATGAAATTTGAAGTTACTACTGGGGTTCCCAGGAAAGTTTTTAGGACAAGCTCCATAGAGCAGAACTCATCCTTATCCTACATTTGTCTTTTGAAGGTATGTTATGCTAGAGGTGCAGCAACCATGCGTGAAGTAACAAGCAGAAGAATAGAAAGTCTGCATGCCAAGCATGGCAGAAGCTAGGTCTTTAGTGGCAACATCATGTCATCATATAAACCCTTGACTGTTTTTTCTAAAACTTTTTATATCAATTTCCTATTAAGCCAAGAAGTCTCAACCACCACCATCCTTCCATCCCTACAGCTCCTGTCACTTATGCTTGTGACTCAGACTTCCAGGAATCCTTTAAACATGATGTGACCATCTTGACTTGGCACAAGAAAATGTACATTGCTATTGAAATGTACATTAGTAATTATTTAAAAAGGAATTCTTTGCTCCAGTAATAAAGAATATGGTGGTATAAATAAATGAATGGATAAATAAAAAACAATTATTAAGACAGAAAGTGCATTTCACAATATTAGGCAATTTAAAGCAGAGTCCATCAAAGATTCACTAGTGTGAACAAAAATTAAAATTATAATGAATGTCAGGCTCTATGGTGCAAACCTATAATCCTAGGAGACTAAAGTAGGAGGATCACAAATTCAAAGCCAGCCTCAGCAATTAAACAAGGCCCTAAGCAATTCAGTGAGGCACTGACACAAAATAAAAAATAAAAAGGACTGGGGATATGGCTCAGTGGTAAAGTGCCTCTGGGTTCAATCCCTAATACAAAAAATAAAAATAAAAAGTGGAATAATTTGAAATATATGGGCATGTAATATCAGACAAAAATGATTTTAACTTTATAACTACTTGAGTAAGTACCTAAAAAATGTTCTGATGCTGTTGAAATGGGCCACAATAAAAAAAAATAAATGTACCATTTTTGTCAAAATATGTATATATGTGTATATAACAATGTATGAAAGGGTGGTCCCCAGAATATTGATAGTGTTTGACTTGGGATTTGGGATAGAAATAATCACTATTGAGGGGATACWAGATAGTAACAGTTGGTGAGAGACTGCTATAAACTAATTAATATGCCAGGTATGGTGGCATACAGCTATAATCCCAACGACTTGAGGGTTGAGGCAGGAGGATCAAAAGTTTGAGGCCAGCTTCAACAACTTAGCAAGGACAATCAGYCTCAAAATAAAACATAAAAAAGGGCTGGTGATGTAGCTCATTGGCAGAGAACCCATCACCAGCCCTTTTTTATGTTTTATTTTGATATGTTTTGGTCCCTAGTAACCAGACCAAAAAAGAAAAATCATGTACATGTTGCAGATTGGAAATGTGAAATGTGAAAGAACGATTGCTATTAAAATTAAGACTTATTTTATTGACTTGTTTAACTGTGAGATCACAAATGTCCACTTAGATGGATTTGATTAGGAGGATAATGAAGCACCTGACTCCAAAGAGGAAGGGGATGAGGATGGAGATGAAGATGATGGAGATGAAGAGGAATATTTAGCTGGTCCACCTGAAGTATATGAGGAAAAGGAGGAAGAGGAGGAGGAGGATGAAGATGAAGCAGGATCAGAATTGGGAGAGGGAGAAGAAGTGGGCCTTTCTTACTTGATGAAAGAAGAAATTCAGGATGAAGAAGAAGATGATGATGTTGAAGATGGGGAAGAAGAGGAAGAAGAAGTTCTGGGGGGGGGGAGGAAGAAGATGACTAGATCATTCTAATACCAGGTTCCTCAGCATTTCTGGGTGTGTAATAGAGTGATTACATCTTTGTTTTTTTATGTACAATAGCTATCCCAACATAAGACAATGTATAACTTTTTATAGAAAAGTGTGCTTTTACTAGTTTTGCCTTATCATTCCAGTTAAGATTCACTAGTCTGTTAATGATCATTGTATGTGGAGAAAAAATTTCATTGACACACCCCTCCATTAAGATATTCTCTAGCAATTATATTTAGAAGCTTAATTTTTCTAATTCAAGTTCAAGTTCATTGTATTAGTAATTTTTAGTCCATAATTAAAACATGATTGCTTTTACACAGTTTGGTGCATTTCATTCATAAGATTTTAAAGTTATTTATAAATTAATTGAAATTACAGTCATCTATAATATGAAATGACAGTAGTCTCTTGAATAAGTTGATTATTATTYTTTTTAGAGATGATCCAGGGATCTTTATTTTGAAGGCATTGACTTTTTTAAAAAATAGCTAAGGATATTCGGGTGGTTTTTTTTGTCACATGACTTAAGTTGGAAAGTAGAAGCAGAATAATAAAGGTTCTATTCAGCAATATAGTTTGTGGATTTGGAGGAGGTTCTAACCAGTAATATAATTCATGGATTTTGTGGTGATTGATAAAATTTTATTTTTGAAGGAAAAATTGCCTATACTAAGTGAGACACACAGGTGAATCTGATCTTTAGGCTGCAGATCATGACATGCCAATGGTTGTTTATTTTTGTTTTAGATATGCATTTGTTTTCCTCTCATCAATTTCTTTATGATCACCTTCCCTTCTTGTTGACTCCCCTTTCTCTATCCCAAAAGAAAGCTGGGAACTTCTGTATACCCAGAAAACCTTATAAAAGTCTTATACTTCAACCACCTTTTCAGATCTTTCTGGGTTTTAAACAGAATGGAAGAAACTGAGAATTTTCTGAGATACAAATATTGTTATTGATAGGATTTTAGGCAGCAAGCTCTGCTTATTGTAAATCTTTCTTGACTGAAAACACTTAAGACCATATAAGTAGGATGAAGAAAGTAAAGGACCAGGGGAGGGTTCTTGAATTAGCATCATGTTCATTGCCTGTTGATAATTAATGAGACATTTAAGTCAATTTTTAAGTTGGCATCCCAAATTATTTGGATACCAACCCTGCGCAGTTTTAAAAATTTTTCTTGGTAGACCCTTTAGTTGTTCCTATAGTTTTAAAGCATTACCAGATTTAGTATTTAATTGGAATATTGTAGGCAGTTGGAAAAATATTTGGGATTAAATATTAAAATTAAGACTTATTTTCAAGTGAATGTCCATTAAAATAGAAGAATATTTGGGATAAGTATGAGTATGTGCTTACTTACATGGTTACTAAATAAAATATAATGAATAGACAAGTACCTCTCTGTTTTTGTCATGGAGGCTCCATGTTCATGATAATTGCTTTGTTCTTCTTGACTACCTAAACATTTTTTCTTTGTTTTGAATATTTATAAAGTTTTTAAAAGTTGGTGTCAGGAAACTAATTGAAGCTATTCTTCTCTGCTGGGACACATCTAAATTATGAGTGTAGTACTGCTGCTGCTTGTTTTTTTTTTAAGTTTAAAATATATGACTTGGCATTTTAAAGGTTATTTGTGGAGAAACTAAAACAGTTGCACAACTGACTAAAATAAAATGCTTGGAATAAATTTAGTAGGGGAATCAGAAAGTACAAAAGATTAACTTTTTTTCTCCTAATTTTTAACAATTGATATGCCCTGCTTTTGTAAGAATTTTCATTACATACTATGCCCAGATTATAAAATATTTATTTTTAAAATGGAATGTATATATTGACTTTCTTATCAATTATCTTATTGTGTGATCAAAATTAGAGTTCTTTGGTTTGAAAACAACACATAGTGAACCTCCAGATAACTTTTAAGAACTTATTTAGCTTTGTGGGTGGTATTTTCATGCAAATAAGTTAGGGAGGGGTTATATTTTGTAGAAGTTTGGGGTCCTATTTTAATGCTTTTTGTATTGCAGTATGTACATAGTGTGTTAAGTTCTTTAAGAATCTCTCCTTAAACTTTGAGGTTAATACTTTTGTGCAACTGTGTTTTTGAATAAAGCCATTACAGTGTTAAGAACAACAACAACAAAAAAARATTTGTGATAGTAATAAATGTACCTAAATAGTATTAACTATGCAATTCATGGAAACTATTTTATTAACTCAGGGTAATTTCTGCCCATTTGGGTAGCTATCTTTGTTAACAAGGTAAATGAGAAATTTGAAGAAAATTACTTATAAATAATAAAATGTGACTTCCAGTGTTTGTGGAGTGTTTATTTCTAATTCTTTTAATCATCAAGGTAAGAAAGAGAACAGCTATAAAAGCACATACTGATTCATTCTATGAGATTCCAGATTCTTTTAAAAATTCAAAGAAAATCAAGTGTTTGTTAGTGAAATTTTCTTACTAAAATTTGGAGTACCTTCCAGGAAGCTAAATGCTCTTTTGGTGTTGGTATATTTGAGTTTCTTCATTTGTTTGTTTGATTGCTGTCTTTGGATAAAAGGCTTTAATCAAGTGATGATCTTGCAGTTGCAGATTTCAGAGGTGATGTTGGCCATCTGGCTTMTGATTTCTTCCATTTCCACTTTCTCCATTCTTTTCATTTCTTAAGATGCTGTGCCACAAAGCATCTAATCAAATCTCAATCAAGTGTATTGTTTTTTAAAAAAAATGAAAACCAACAGTGGAACTCTATGAAAACTAGTTCATTTCAACACTGTACTTTAAAAATCTTAATTGGTCCCAGATGTTTGATTTAAACCATCTTATAGAAAATGGAAGGAAGAGCCTATGCAGTGGCTATGCCTGGAGTTTTAGCTATTCATGAGGCTAAAACCAGGGAATCACTTGAACTCAGAAACTTAAGACCAGCCTGAGCAACATAGAAAGACCACATCTCCTTAAAAAAAAAAAAAAAAAGTGGGAAGAAGCATACTGTGCATGCCTTAAATGCCAAATATGTGTTTTGAGTGATGTATCATTTAATGAATTTTCAAAACAGCCCTGTTTCAAAACAGTAGTTAGGATACTGAAGCTCAGAAAGGGTGTCTGATACACAAAGTCACACAACTATTAATTTTTAAATATAGTTTTGATTCTATTGTAATACTCAGTCTTTCCATTACACTGAACTTTCTCATTTAAAAATATTCATGGATAATATGAAACATTCAAGATGAAAAGACTTTCAAGAACAACCTTGGAGGTCATCTAGATCAGTCTTTCAAATACTACCAGAATCTCTCTTCCCATTTATCTGAAGGACCATGGTCCTTCAGATAAATGGGAAAAGAGATTTAAACCTTTCCAGGAAGAAGAAGCACCCTAGTTTCCACTGCAGCATGATCAATTGTTAAACAGCCATAATCATTATGAGTTGAAATCTGTATTCCAATCATTTGTCTTTAGGTCTGCTCTTCCCCCTCTTTACCAGTTCAAAATATGTCTCCCCTTATTCCCTTCAAATAAACATTAAGTGCCTTGCATGCCTTTTTCAGACAAAACAGCCCTGAATCCTTCAACCAGCCTTGAGAATGATTTCCAGATCTCTCAGAATAGTGACACCTTTGGAAACACTGGTTTATAATAACTCATAAATTTTGGTACATACAGTAGTTCAGACATTTTGTGATTTCCCTAGAATAGCTTCCATAATGATGCATCTACGTTTCAATCAGTTTCTATATTAATAGAAACATGAATAAGCTGGTTTGACAGTTGGATTTACTGCTTTTCAGGAAYTGTATTTCTAGTCAGTATTTACAGTGACCATTTGATTAAGACAGAAGCTTCTAATTTCTTTGGCGATTTCAATCTAGTGATTTATAATGCTTAGAGAATATTGTAGCAAAATGGCATCTCACTGACCAGAAATGTGGCTGGAGGCAAGTGTGTGTGTATGTGTGTGTGCAATAAAACACACAAATCCTTTCTATTTTTCACCTTTTGAGAATTTTGACCTAAAAGGATGTATTGGTTGCAAAATAAATTACCTCAAAAAAATTGTTGGTCAGAAACTTGGGAAGCAGCTGAACTATAGTTCTAGTTTGAATCTCTCATGGCATGCAATCAAAATTCCAGTTGATACTGGGTAATCTTCAAGACAGAATTAGTACTAGAAATCTACCCTCCAGGTGGCTCACTCATAACACTGGCAAATTAGTGCTAATTTTTTATGTGATGCTTCAGTTCCTCCCCACATGGCCTCTTTATGGGACTGCTTGAGGGTCCTCACAACATAGCATCTAGATTCACCCAGGACAAGAGATCTAAGAGACGATAATATAATTTCATAAATCACATATTGTCATCTATAATGTGTTCTTTGGRTCACATAGATCAGCCCTGAGTCAATGAGGGAAGAAAATATGTATGAATAACAGGAATTAAGGGCCACTGGTCCCATATTGGAGGCAAGCTACCATATATCTTACCAAAGCATGGCAAGTGATAATAGGTAACTCTTGCCTTCTGTTTATGATTATCCTTGTCCTAATCCCAATGCCAATATTGCAATTATTTCACAACTGCCTGCCCTTCCACTGGCATTCAGCCTCTCTTCTCCCAAAGATTTTTCATCAATTTTCTACCTCCAAATTTAGAAATATTGGCTATATTTTTCAAATGTTTGCTGTCTTTGTTGCTAAAAAGCAAACACAGTTTAGTAGAATTTGGAGATCTTACATTTCCTACCCTACTTTCAAATAAAGTTAAGAATATGTTAATATGTTGGGCTGGGGATGTGGCTCAAGTGGTAGCGCGCTTGCCTGGCATGCGTGCAGCCAGGGTTCGATCCTC